AAGAAAGGAGGCAACTAATGTAAATAATTTAATTATTATAATCTCGAAGTATAGACATCCGCCAAAAATCTATCATTCAACTCTGATGCAATTATCTAGCTGAATATATACCAGGCTGCAATATTTAACAGCAAAATTCTACCAATAGGATACAGAGTCATACTTGAGGATGAATTGAAGCAATGAATCATAAACCAAAATAAGAAATTGAAGAATAAAGTAATTTTCAATAGTTTAATTCAAAATTTAGAAATCAGGAAATTCATCAAGTTCAAAATCATCTGCAAAAAAGCAAATAAAATACGAAAATGACCCTAGCTATAAATCCCACTCAAAAAAAACCTCTAGTACTAATAGTATGTGCAATCCGAAAGCATAAGCAAGTTTAAATAATGTTGCTAAATAGAATTAAAATAAAAAACCTTAAACTAAAAGAATTGTCGAGTCTGATGATGATTCTGAGGAAAGTGAGGATGAATTAATGGACGAAGATAGCTTAGTGGAATCAAATAGCGATCATTTCAACCATAGTGAAGAAGAAGAGGTTAAGAACTCCAAAGCTAAAAAAAAGCCATAGATATCTAATGGTGTGAATAACAAATCAAAGCAAAGCAAGCTTATTTAGAACAATAAAACTGAAGTGACTAAAAAGCCATTGATAAGTTAGAAAATGGATTTAGGGGCTACTTACTCATAATGCAGAAAGATAATGAATTTGCTTAAGAAAAACAAAAGGGCGACATCACTTCCTGAATTTCTCAATAAACTTAAAATTTTAGAGAATAAATTCGAATCAAACTCAATTAAGGATATTTATGATTTCTAAACTCAAATTTAATAGATATTTGTAGAAATTACAGCAATGGTCAAATCAAATTAGGAACTTAAGGCCTAGTGTATAGAAGTTTCTTAACTTTTTGTTGATCTATTTGAGGAATTTACCTCTGATTTATAATAGAATTCAGATGCTGTAACTCAGTAATAAACTAAGGCAATTGAAAGTATAGCACCAATAGCATAGAAAAAGATAAAAGATATGGAGAGACAAATAAACTCGCTAACTTCATAGATTACAGATATGAAGTACCAATAACAGCAGAATATAATATAAAGTTCCCCATTACAGACAAAAAATAACAGAAACTAGGGAGCAAGTAATAATAACAACAACAACAGACGACAATAAAGTAATGGCAATGTCTAAAGAAATCAAGATAAACCCATGACTGAATAAGAGGTAAATGCATTGACAAATTTTATAACCAAATTGAAACCTGAAGATTAACTAGGCATTAAAGAAATTATTAAAGGTACACCAGGTGTAAGAATTGAAGGAGATGTTTTAGAGTTTCATCCATCAACTCTGCCACCAAGGAAGTAAAGAGAATTGGAGCGATATGTAAAATTAAAACTAGGACTTGTTAAAAGTAACGGCAAAAAGAAGCCTCCTGCTACTAATAATGCACTTTAGAAGGGCCAATCTTTAGATAAAAATGGTCAAGTTCGCAATGTAAACTCTATTAGTAATTAGCCTGGAGTTCCAAATCAGTTATTGCAATAATAAAATGGAAGATAGTTATCACATCCTTACCAATCGGCTTAATCTCCTTAATTTCCCTAAGGCTAGCATATAATGGGATAACTATATAGCTCAACAACTTAAAATTAAAAAGACCTAAATAATAGTGATAGCAGCGACTCAGATTCAAGTTCGGAGGAGGAAGATTGCAAGAATGTAAAAAATATATCCAATTGCTCAACAAATGCCTAAAATAGTATGTCTTGTAATTCTCTGCCTTAAAGCAATCAACATCAAGCCTAAAATAAGTCTTACTACAGTGGACTTAATCTTAAGGACTTATGGATGAAGGGCCGTGAATTGAAATAAAAAACTGAGTTATAGCAATAGTAATAGCAATAGCAGTCTCTAGCGGAGTAGAAGGCTGATCAACCTTAAAATGTAAATAATTCAGTAGCAAATTGAAAGTCTAATTTAATTTAAAATCAATAACTACTGCCAAATCGAATTAAATTGCAATAATTTTCCCTCTTAATTTCATAAATAATTCACTCAAGGGGTTTTGGGGTTTTGGGGTTTTGGGG